CATATGGTACTAACATGTCACTAATATATTTTGGTGCGAGGCCATGCAGAGACTTGTACACAAGCAGAGCTGTTTTAAAGTCTATTCTCTGAGCCACAGGAAGCCAGTGCAGAGACCTGAGAACTGGACTAATGTGGTCGTACTTCCTGGTTCTAGTCAGGACTCGAGCTGCTGCATTTTGAATGTACTGCAGCTGTTTTACAGCCTGTTTGGACAGACCTGTGAGCAGGCCATTGCAGTAGTCTAACCTACTGGAGACAAATGCATGGATAAGAATCTCCATGTCTGCTTTAGACACTATGTTTTTGATCCTGGCAATGTTTTCTAGACGGTAAAAAGCTGCTGATGTTACTGATTTGATGTGGCTATTAAAATTTAAGTCTGAGTCCAGTATTATCCCTAGATTTCTGACCTTGTTTGAAGGTTTTAGGGAGAGAGACTGTAGATGACAGACGATGAAATTAAGACATGAAGACAATTCGAAAGAGTTTCAACAGATTGTAGCTTGAATGAACAATACCTGTCTTACCTGCCAGCACTTCAGTGTAAGTGGACAGGGGAGGCCTCCTGCCAACTGCTGTGTGTGTGTTTGAGTGTGTGTGTCTCAGTGTGTGTATCGTGTCTACGAGTGTGTGCTACGAGTGTGTATGTGTGGTTTCTGCATGTCCACAATGTTTATGAAGAGCATTTGAAAATCAATAGACCTAAAGTGGTGACTTTGACTCTGGGCCAATGGGACTGAAACTGGATAAAACTGGACTTTCTGGATAAAACTGTACTTTTCGGGATAAAGCTGGACTTGGAGCAGTCTTTAGATGAGACTCCATTTAGAGAAATCAAACCCGGGTAAAGAAAGGTAGCTTACATCGTATCATCGCTAGAGAGACCTGCGGGACCGCCTCGGACTGAATTTGGATGGGAAACAGGCAGTCATTCTACTTGATATGTAATTTTTCAGTTATTGTACTGTATATTTTTTTAGCAGTACGTTTCTTTTGTACCATTTCATCAGTGATTTTTGTACAGCTTGCGAGAAGTTGTGCTAATGCTAATGTTAGCATACCTATCAGATCACTACTAAAACTAGACGGCTACGAGGGGGGAGAGCGTAGGGGAGAGTAGGAAGGTTTCTCAAAATGAGCAGCCTAAAAAAAAAACCTTGCAGAATTGGGTATAGCTTCTCTAAATTATTCTTTTACCTGTTCTTTAATCTTGGTGCAGAATAGAATTGTTTGCCTTCTTCTTCAGGGGAATGGTTCGATGTTTAGTACCTCGTTAAAACCGGCTTAAGAATTGAGCTTCAGAGTGCTTCTTTGCAGATGGATGGGGGAGTGTTTAACTGTATAGCTGAGTTATTGTCAAAACATACAGTGCTCTACGAGGCCAAGACACCGCCCAATACAATTCTACATCAAGTTTTGTTTTCGCCTTTAAAAAGTTATTTTTTCAAATTTCTGCGGGAATTGTATTGCTTGATCCAACCGCTGCTGTGGTCTCTCCTTGTTCGATGGTAACATTAGGTCAAATGTAGCCTTGTAGACAGCCTACAAGACTACTTTTCTACATACCTTATCAGCCCTGCCCTTTGGGAGAAGTCTATCCCTGAAACGCACTCATATTACTGTCTGACCTGACCCTGCCTCATCCATGTGTTGGTCTCATATACATGCACTGGTCCTGTGGCTGAAGTGAAAACAGCACAGACAAACGGTATCTTAAATGATATCAACAATGACACACTAACTGAAATGGTAATCTGAGTACCAGCATGCACCGCAGTTTGAGAAACACTTTATGGTGACATACCGGGCCCACTCAGGAAGTATACCATCGGCTGAAGGTTAGGGTGAGGAGGCTGGAGGCTAGGTCATACTTCTATCTTGACTTCCGTAAGAACCCCAAAAAACAGGCAAACTTTAACACCTCATATGAGACGGCTGTGGGAAGGAAAATGTTTGGGAAAATGGAAGGAATTTCGAATCTTTTGAAATCTGTCTTCCCATATTGTTTTTTCCAACTGAGTTAGCCTTCTTCTTAAAAGAAAGTAATATCCTTTGCATACAAAGAGCTCTATTGCTCTTTGCATGCAAATTGTATGCAATTACTCTTTGGGCTGAGAAAGGGTGGTCCTCTCTTGGCACCTACATTTCATACCACATCAGTTTAATGAGTTCCCTGCTCTCTTGGATTAGATTTTATTTTGTTTTATTTTGGTTCATTTGTTTAATAACAAATTTGTTTAATAACAAATGAACAAATACAACCAAAAAATAATTTAGCTCCATCCTGATGATGATGATGTCACATAAAGCATATTCACTACTCAAACACAATGACTTTATTTAATACATAAGTGAAATTAATAAACTGAAAACATGTTTATAGTAGTACATTTAAATGTTGATAATTAGTGTTAATTAGCTTTAGCCATAACATTCCACATGTTTTTCTCATTTACTCATTCGTTCTGGATTTCCTGTTTCCAACCAAAGCATTTCTCAGGTCATAGTGATTGATTCTTAATTTGAAGACAAGTCTGTTTGTCTGAAAAAGCTGATTTAAAGAAGTGACAGAGTCCAAAGTGACATGATGTGAAAACTAGTGATAGAAGCAAACTGTTTTAGAGCAGGGAACTCATTAGACTGATGTGGTATGAAATGTAGGTGCCACAGCTTTAATCGAGAAAGATGAAGTGAAGAAGTGGAACACTGTCATTTCTGGTGTGTTTGGTGTCAGCGGGCCTCCAGCTGTGCCTCTGTGTGTGATCCATGCGGACTAATGAGATCCACCACAGCCACAGCAGTCATCTGTGTGAGTGTGCCGTTGTTCTGACTGCTCCCTCTAATGAAGCCCATCCAACCCCCCCCCGCTCAGCCTATTAGAGCTGCACCGTAAACATGCATGTGTACAATGGACCGGGCTTCAGAAGATCTATGTTATCTCACTTCAGACCCGATCAAAGGCTCGTTATAACTCTATTATGTTGGATTGGTTTATTAAGATAATAGTGAAAGGGAATGTTATTTACATACTTTTCAAACAAAACCCTTTTCTGCTTACCGATAGAAAAGCAGGAGGAGGGCTAGTCTATTTCAGATTAAGCTACAAAGCTTTTCAGTGCCTGCTTGGTCCTGATTCAATTCTGGCCTGTTTCAGACTTCCAGCAATGTCAGGTTGTTCAGCAGAACTACACACTTATTAGAATTAGTGTTGATTAATAGTGTCTATCTATAGTCATAAATCATTTCCTCTTAGGAGGCTGGTCATCTACAAGAATAATGTCTTATAACACACTCATTCATCCACATTTACACCTTCAGACCCCTGAGCAGTACTGCCCCTTAGTGCCACCACAGCGGGGTCTTGGTCCTAAAGTGAAAACAGCTTCATGGCGGCAGTGCACCCACCAGTGTTGTATCAGTTCCTGCATTCAAAATCACTCACCATTTGCTTCCCTTTCTTGTGTGCAAACTCTTGCTTCATCCACTGTCATACATTCTCCTTACACCTTCATTCCATCCATTCCTTGGCCTTCCTCTGGTCTACAACCACTCATGCAACTATTTGTCACTCTCTTTGTCAATCTCTCCCCAACTGTTACATTCCTCATTCTATCCACCCGAGTCACACCTATCATACTTCTCAAGCTGTTCATATCAAACACAGATTACATGTAGGACTTTAAAATCGAAGATGCACACCATTGTGTCAAGCCAAGCTGGATCCCACGGGACACAGTGCAATATGTCAGTGAGAAAAAGATATGTTTATGCTTGTTCCACTGGTGGTGTCGTTGCAGTGCACATCAGTTGCCTCCACACACCTAACAAGAGTGAACCTTCTCTCTATGAGGATAATGACCGACCAGCCTTATGTCAGTCTGTGGAAGTCAGTGCAGGTCAGTGGTAGGTCTGAGGAGGTCTCTGTATAGCTGTGTATAACTGTAAGGGAGAGGCTGCACCAGTTTACCACAGACACCCCCTTCATGCATAATGGGCCCTTCTGAATTGCCATAAGTGGGACCCCTGTGAAGCCTGACAGTGTAAAAATGTGGAAGCAGCATTTGAAGAAATCCACGAACGTCTGACACACACATGTTGAACTCTGCAGCAATACAAAAACGTGTGTCTTTGAGAGCTCCCACTCCCAACAACCATTCACACACACACACCCAATGTTCCCAGAGGTCTCCCGTGTCTTACCAGAAATTGTCGTGCTTAGCGTTAGAGGTCTGATTTGGATCTGGCTTTTGCTCGCAGCTGGCGCCATATCATGACTGTAACAGCTGAAGAAGTAGCATTAATTAAATTTGAACCCAACATTAGGATAATAAAGATATCTGTCTGAAAGGTCCTATTTCACTTCCCATCATTGTTCACAGTCCATCCTAAGAACATGTATGACAAAAATTTGGGCGATACACCATAAAACACTCAAAACCTGTGAAATTATAGCCATTTTCGTGCATAGAGGTAATGTCAGATCAGATCAGAGAAACAAACAGTTCAAACACATGCAGTAATAACAAACACACATAGGAGCCATTGGTCCAAGGGGAGTGGGATGATTCTGTCTAGAAATCATAATAAATGTGTATAAATGTCCCAGAAACACTGATAAACCTCAGGCGGGCTTATCTAAAGAGAGGGATCCAGAACACATACTGTAGAAATAAGGACTGGGAAAAGGAATAACAGTATATATTGATTATGACCAGAGAACAGCTCAGCCCATGCATTTGAAGAACCTCGTCTCTTGCGCTGACTGGTATTTATGCATGGTCGTTTGTGTTTGTCTTTTAAAACTCGCATCAAGAGGAGAGTAAGGGCGTGACATATGGAGCCGTTTCTGTTGCAGCCTCAGAAAGCCCTTATAAAATACTAATCCGTGTGTATAAATATGATGGAGCGCATGTTGCTGCGGGGTTACAGAGAGCACCATGGCCCTGCGCGCTTCAGCTTGGAGCTGTTTTATTCATCGCGCTCCCGACAGCCGGAGAAATGCGTATCGACCCGCCCGTCTACTACAGCGGTACAGAAAAGTTCCCTCAGTATTCTCTTAAGTCGGCCGTCCCGAACGTGTTTGTCCTTTTCTATAATGTAATTCATAGTGGTGATTAGTGTGTCCTCTGGAGCCGGTCGATGGCGGCTGTGTGTTCACGCGGTTATAGTGCGCGCTTACATGAGCTGACAGCAGTGCACAGGAGACCACTCTGTATGTATATGCGCTCAGGCCACACAGATGCGCTCATAAGTCTGCACGCCCCAGGCACGAAGTGAGGCTGTAAATGAACAGCACACCTTTGAGGGCATGGAGCTGTGGACATTTGTGTTTAAATCATACTGAGACCGAAAACACTAACAAACAGGTTTGAATGGTATTTGTCCTGGGCAGTTCTCATCTACTCGTCTTCACCCAGCCGCTATACTTATCTTAACCTTTCTGTCGTGTTCGGGTCAAATCTGACCGATTTCCTACTTTCAACAATCATATATTTTTTGTTTTATATTTTATTGTTTCAAGGCCTTATGATATCCTCCACACTAGGCATTTGAACATGTACAATTGATGATCACCACTTTCGTTGAATTTTGAGTGGGCAAATCAACTTTGTAACACCTGTGGTGTTCCCGGTCAAAAATGACCGCCATAGGAAATGAATGGGTGACTCTAGATCCTTTCATTCACCATAGTTTTCACACACACACACACACACACACACACACACACACACACACACACACACACACACACACACACACACACACACACACACACACACACACACACACACACACACACACACACACACACACACACACACACACACACACACACACACACACACACACACACACACACACACGCGCACACACGCACACACACACGCACACACACCACGTGAACCCCTTTCAGACTGAACAGGTGTTCAGTCCCCCCACGTGAACCACACCTTTCGATACAAAATGTATCATAATAGAAAGATATCTTCTCACTGACCCCCTATATATAGCTTTATTTGTGCATTGCTCTCATTTGACTCTGAGCACAATGACGAGGCGCCGGTTTTCTGCCAGAGAGGCTCTTGACCTTTTTTTTTGAAACCGATGAAGAGGGGATTCAAATCGAACAAGAAATAGAGGAGGATGTCTCAGAAATAGAAGACAATCCTGATTTTGATCCGGACTATAATGAAAACGACAAGTCAACAGATGGTGAGGAAGAGGCCCCTGAGGAAGACACACGTGGGGAAGAGGCACCTGAGGAGGAGGCCACTGGGGAAGACACACCTGAGGCTACATTCCAGTCCAAGGATGGCAACTTGCTCTGGTATTCATCCACCCAGGACAGAGGAGGCAGAGCAAGAGTGGAAAATATTGTTAGGATGACGCCAGGGCCAACAAGGTATGCGACATCTCATGCGGATGACATCAAGTCCAGCTTCCAACTCTTCTTATCAGAGTCCATTGTGGAAATAATACTGGAGGAGAGGCGTGTGTTTGCAGGCACATGGAAATTATTGGATCAGATAGACCTCCAAGCCTACATAGGTCTGTTGATTTTAGCAGGAGTTTACCGGTCCAACAATGAAGCGACAAAATGTCTGTGGGATGCAGAGTCAGGGAGGCCTATATTCCGGTCAACTATGTCCCTCCGACAGTTCCATGTTATATCACGTGTTATCAGATTTGATGACAGAACCACAAGACCTTTCCGCTGGCGAGATGACAAACTGGCTGCCATCAGGAACGTTTGGGACAGGTGGGTGGAGCGTCTACCACTGATGTACAACCCAGGCCCTGAAGTGACAGTGGACGAGCGCCTGGTGCCTTTCAGAGGTCGCTGTCCATTCAAACAATACATCCCAAGCAAACCAGGCAAGTATGGGATCAAGATCTGGGCAGCATGTGATGCCAGGAGCAGCTATGCCTGGAATATGGGGCAGGCAAGCCCCAGCCGCTGCCCTGGCCTTTCTCCCCCCAAATCAGGGGCAGAAACGAAAGAGATGCAAGCTCTGTGCCCCTAGAGACAATAAAACAAGTCTTACTTGTTTCAAATGTGATGCCTACGTTTGCAAGGCACACTCCGACCTGATGGCAAAATGCCACTCCTGTGTGTGAAGACACACACACACAGAGATTATATGTTCATGTTGATGTTCTGATCTGTGAATTTGTACTCAGTTTTGATTTTTGCTTCGTTCTCTACAATAAATGTTACATTTCGAATATAATTTACAATTTCTATGTGTATTTGTTGTATATTCACTGCAGTTATTCATGTAAACCAGTAGTTTGAGGTATTGTTTACAGCTTTAAAGAGAGTAAAACATTTTTTAGTTATGATCAGTTATTTTGTGTAAATGTAAGAGCAGTTAAAACCGTCCGGTCAAATTTGACCGGGAACACCAAAGTAAGGGGGGGGAAACGAACACGACACAAAGGTTAACAATTGATGTGCACAATCAGACAGGGAATGTAAACTTATGATTCATACTGCAAATCTGTATTAAGTAATGTATTACACTATAGTATTGCTGTCTCTGAATTGTAACACATTACACGACTTCTGTATGACTTTTAAGTTACTTTTGGTTAGGCACATAAAGTTCACTTAACTTTTTTTCCAACAAACTCAGTCCTGTCCTGGTGTTTTTTGTTGTCCCTGTGGGCGACCGTTTGTTGTAATGCCTTAGATTTCCGCGTTTCACCCAAAAATATCACAGTGATTACATTACTTTTGCAATACATTACTCCCAACACTGTGTACATATTAGCATAAAATATAATCCTATTTTTATGGACCATGTTTGAATTGCAATGTGTGTGTTCAAAGTTCACATTTGAAGGCTCTTAATACTGTACATCTTGTTAAATGACCTGCTCATGACCACCTGCTTGGCAAAGGCTGGGGTGATTGGCAGTCAGCCTGGTCCCATCGCCTTCTGCATTCCAACACACACATTGTGTTGCATTATGGGAGGTTGGACCTGACTGCTCAGGCTCGCCCCGGTACAAAGATCCCCATCATTCTGCCATCAAGAGCCACACGCATCACATCAGACCAATCCCCCTCCTGCCCCCAAACGAGGCCATGTCTGTCCCAGATGTGCCTCGTGCTTCTGTCCCATGCAGCGCCTGGACATCAGCGCTGAGAATACAAGCATCACATATTCATATACCTCATGCTTTTGATTAACTGTACTGCTTTTAATCTCCCTTCACCGGTGGGTATTTTGTTCTTTGCGCTGATTCTCACTCAAGGTTGTGGTGGATCATCATGGTGATAATGTAAGCGTACATTGATAATGATTGTGTTTCTCAACCAGCGAGGAGAGAATGTGGAGGCCATGAATGTGTCTCTGTGGGTCCGAGCAAATGTGGTGAGTCACCGTGCTCTGGGACGTGTACAGCAGCAGTATTCTTTGTCTCAGAGCTGTGGGAGCATTCTACCACACAATCTTGCTTTGTGATCAGCTTTGAATGCAATCTGTCAGAGGATTCAAACATTGACCACTGTTCTGCGTGTAACATGTTCCCAAAATCTACAGAGTTCAGATTAGACTATACAAACAAATTGTGATCAAATAAAAAAACACAAAGTGATGATGACTAGAGAAGGCTTTAACTTCCAATTGTAAACTTTTCTTCTGACATTAAAGAGGGCCGTTCATTACTTTCCTTCTGTAATTATGTTGATTATAAATAACTCTTTTCTTCCAGTTTCCCATTTCATCGTCCATACACGAGAGAGTCTTAAGACCTTTTACTTAAATTGAAATTTCCTGAAAACATTAAAAAACTGTAATGGACACATACACTACCAAAAAATTGTAATTTGAGCACATTTTGCTTGCTTTAAAACTAGATTTTCCAATGGAATAAGCGAAATAATCTTGTTTTATTATACGGCTCTTCACAGTAGAAGATTTGAATGTAATTTTAAAACGTTGATAATTTCTTGATAACTGACCTCTGAAACCAATAATGACCATTGGGTTTTGTAAATCAGGTGTGGTAGATCACTACGCACATAGTCCGCCCACTTTGTTAACATTATGCTAGAGTTATCTATTTCTGTCTAGCTACACATAGATCCATGGTGTAGTTCTGCTCAATGAACACAAATAACAATCAATCTACCAACCCTGACCCATTTAAATGTTATTGGGATAATACATTATACATTCTTAAAATACATGCACAGAGGTTATCAGAACTATCTTTTAACATTGTCATTACATTTTTAAGGCAACAAAATGCGAATCACAGTAAACCCGGAAGTAATCATTGACATTAATAAAAACATTTAGGACGCATTTGCAGAGGATCTGATAATTGATTTAGGTCGAGTTTATAAATGGGTCACTCACCGCCGATGTCCAGAAATCTTTGTTCAGTTTTCATGAGAGTTCTAGTTGTGAACGTCCAGTTTAATATTAACAAGTAGCTACGTCAAGCTGTTACTCCCGTAGCCACTGCACGGCAAAACCTTTAGGAATTATTTTATTTAAATAAAATATTTCCCGATAAGGACTAAATGGTTTGTCCCATTGGCAAATATTGTTTTAAGATGCTGAGAATTAACTCAAATGAAGATGAGAAATCACTCAATTCAAGCAATTATTACCTCAAAATGTACTGTATCATTTTTGCAGTGTACAGTAAAATAGCTTGAAAACAGTCTCTTTAAAAAACAACTATTTTTCTCTCATCAGAAACAGTCTTTGAGTTGTTTTTAGCTTCATACAGGCTAATGTTTTGACACAAGACAAGAGTGTCTAAATAGAAAAGTCTTAGTAAAACGCTGCCACATGTTTAGGTTAGGGGTTTGTGGAGTGTCCTTGGAAAGCCCCGGGGATCCAGAGGACGAGGTATGGAAATGAAGCAGCCCTGACAGGAGCCAGTGAGCACCACCCAGCAGCACTGTCATCTGCTGGTGACACGAGAAACACAACTGAATGTGTGTACTGTCACACACTCATACACTCACACTCACTCACACACACACACACACACACACATACTCAT